ATCATCAATAATGACATATCCTCTTCTTGAAACTCCTGTTTCTACATTTAACATTCCATATTTAATTGAAATACATCTTTTAATATCTGATATTAATGGGAATCCTAATTTTCCTACTCCTCCTTTACTTTTATCTGCTTCACACCATGCTTGATGACAATAAACTGAATCAACACTCACTCCAATAACTTCACAATTGATTTCTTTCAATTGTCCTGCAACTTCACTGTATCCAATCATTTCTGTTGGACAAACAAATGTCCAATCCAATGGATAAAATAATAACACAACATATTTCCCTTTATATTCATTAATATCAATTTCTTTGATTGAACCACATGGACAATATGCTTGTGCTTTAAATTCTGGTGCTTCTTTTCCAATTTGTGCTTTTTCAAATGTGTTCATAAATTTCTTAAATGCTTTAATTCTTGGACAACAACATTCTTTCTTACAATACTCTTTACAACAATACTCTTTACAACAATACTCTTTACAACATTCTTTCTCTTGACATTCTTTCTTACAACATTCTTTTGTTGATTACAGGACATTTAACTGTTTGAAATGATGAGATTGTGATGATGAGATGTTTAAATAACAAATGAACTACCAAAACCATCTTTACATAATTAAAATAAGAATGTCATCATCATCACTTGTGCATTCTTCTCATTCTGGGATTTATTCATCTCTCTTTCTTCTTATAATGAATGAACTGGTAAATAGAAAACAAAAATGACAAGATAAAAAAGAAATCGGAGATACACAAAATCACTCATTCGAAATGGTTCTATTGAAGAATATGATGAAGAGAAAGATGAGTGTATTGGTACAAAACATCAATAAGAAACAAAGAAACAGAGATAAAAGAGAAAACAAAATAAGAAGAGAAGTGAATATTAGAATAAGAGATAAAAGATAAATAGAAAAAGAATAAATAAGAAGAAAGATAAAAGAGAACATATAAAACATAAAGAAATAAAAAGTGATAAAAGAATGATAAAACATAAAGAAAAGAAGAATAAACAATTAACAACAATAATCAAAATATCAATAGAAACCAAAAATCATAATAGAAATGATAATATAAATTAATATAATTATATTCAACATATTATAT